TATAGCAAATAACTTAACACACATAAAGCATATATTCCATATCATAATCGACCTTCCGGTCACATAGTCAAAACCCTTCCGGGTACAGTATAGTGAGAAGACTCACCTCGTATGCCTTGCTAAGCTGCTACCCGTAAATCCTGGAATCACTCGGGCTCGAACCCTCGAGCTGAAATCCTCCTACGATATATATATAAATCTATAAATATTACTTGTACCACTAAGGTGGACCATTCAACTCAAGTCAACACCGGTTGACCCGGTCAGCAGTCTTTAGTTAATTTGGACTAGACTCGGCGAGTGCACAATAGTGACTCGGCGAGTCTACGCGTTTTTACCAACTCTCAAGAATTTTCCCTTTGACTCGTCGAGTACTCCCCTGACTCGACGAGTTCCACCTGGGCCTGAATCGCAGGGTCACCGCGACTCAACTCGCCGAGTCTAAGGCCAACTCGGCGAGTCCCATCCTGACTCGGTCCACCTGTCAAAACCTTTCCAACTCTCTGCGACTCACTGAGTCGCTCACAACTCGGTCCAGTCTACACACAAGATGGTCTCAAGGACAATCTTCAAGTGACTCGTCGAGTCTGTTCTTCAGACTCGGCGAGTCCATGCCATGCACCAGCTAAAACTGGCTCTTGCGGTCAGATCCGTTCCATAAATACATAGATCTGGCCTTCCCAAGCTTATTTGTCACGTAAAGTCTCAGTCTTGGTTGCCATGCAATGCATACAAGGCTTATTTTGAAGAAACAACCTTCAATATGGCAAGTATAGCTTCTAACTCAAATGGATGGGCATAAAGCTTGTCATAAGGGGTCTCCTGGACCTGCTAAAGTCCAGATCTAGGTTCCATGTCTCCATGGGACCTCTCATACTTCTTATTCAAGCCAAGAAAGGCAAGAAGAAACCCTAGATTTGGCCCATCAACACAAAACACGAAGATTGGCTCAGAAAGTTACCTCAAGAAGACCCCCTTGATGAAATGGCAACAGATCTAAGCTCCCCAACACTTCAAGCTTGCTCCTCTCCCTCCTTTCCTTGCACTAACACACAAAATGAAGAACAAGAGGCCTTCAAACACACACACAAGGGCTTACAGACGTATGGAGGCTCTTAGGGTTCAAGGTGGCCGCATATGAGGGCCATAAGGTCCTTTAAATAGAGCTTAGGGCCGGGGAATTAGGGTTTCATTAAACAGCACGGACTCGTCGAGTCCATCCCTTGGACTCGCCGAGTCCGGACGCGAACCCCCGCTAAAAACCGCGACCCGACTCGACGAGTTCAACCACCAACTCGCCGAGTCCCCTCACAGAATGCCAAAAATATAAGGAAATGGAGATACCTGGGGATCCGGGCTGTTACAAATCTCCCCCACTAGAATAAGACTTCGCCCTCGAAGTCCCGCTTAGTCAAAAAGCTCCGGATGCTGCTCCCGCATCTCCCGCTCCGGCTCCCAAGTCATCTCTGATCCCTTCCGATGCTGCCACTGAACCAATACCAGGGGCACCTCCTTGTTTCTCAAAACCTTGATCTTCCGATCTTGATGGCTACAGGTCTTTCTGCATAATTCAGACTTGCATCCACCTGAATATCTCCTAACGGAACCACCGCTGATTCGTCGGCTATACATTTCCGCAGCTGCGACACATGGAAAGTGTCGTGAATCTGTCCCAACTCTGCTGGCAAGTCTAAACGGTAGGCTACCCGTCCCACCCTTGCAATCACACGAAAAGGACCAATATACCGGGGCCCCAACTTGCCCCTCTTCCTGAATCGAATCACTCCTTTCCAAGGAGAGACCTTCAGGAGCACGAGATCACCAACCTGGAACTCAAGCTCGGACCGTCGCCTGTCTGCATAACTTTTCTGCCGGCTCTGAGCGGTCAGCAACCTCTGCCTGACCATCTGAATTTGCTTGGTCGTCTGAAGCACGATCTCCGTGCTACCCATAACCTGCTGTCCCACCTCACCCCAACAGATGGGGGTGCGACACCTCCGCCCATACAACAACTCAAAGGGCGGCATACCAATGCTCGAATGATGGCTGTTGTTATACGAGAACTCTGCTAGAGGTAGATAGGTATCCCAGCACCCTCCGAAATCCAACACACACGCCCGAAGCATGTCCTCGAGCGTTTGAATGGTCCGCTCACTCTGGCCGTCTGTCTGAGGATGATATGCCGTACTGAAATGCAGCCTAGTACCCAACTCTTCATGGAATTTCTTCCAGAACCTGGAAGTGAAACGCACGTCGCGGTCCGAAATAATCGAGATTGGCACCCCGTGCCGAGATACTACTTCCTTCACATATAACTCGGCCAACTTCTCCGCAGAAGAGCTCTCACTAATAGCTAGGAAATGAGCGCTCTTTGTTAGTCGATCCACAATTACCCAAATCGCATCGACTCCTCTCGCCGTTCGCGGTAACTTGGTAATGAAATCCATAGAGATTTGTTCCCACTTCCATTCGGGAATCTCTAGCGGTTGCAGCTTACCGTGCGGTCGCTGGTGTTCGGCCTTGACCTGCCGACAAGTCAAGCACCTCTCGACGAACCAAGCGACATCCCTTTTCATACATGGCCACCAGTACTCCTTCTTGAGATCCAAATACATTTTCGTAGCACCAGGATGAATCGAGAATTTCGATCGATGTGCCTCCTCCATCAAAGTAGTGCGGCACCCGCCCACAAACGGCACCCAAATCCGCCCCTGAAAAGTCATAAGCCCCCGACCATCCGTAACAAATCCTGGTACCTGACCCACCACCCGTTCCTTCTTCTGGTGTTCCGGCTTTGCAGCCTCCATCTGAGCCCCTCGAATAATGTCCAGAATCGGGGTCAAAACCGTCAACCTCATACAAATGTCTCGGATCGGGGCGCTATCCGCCCTACGGCTCAAAGCGTCGGCTACCACATTAGCTTTGCCCGGGTGGTACAGGATCTCACAATCGTAATCCTTCACCACATCCAACCACCTCCTCTGACGCATATTCAGATTTGGCTGATCCATCAAGTATTTCAAGCTCTTATGGTCCGTGTAAATCGTACACCGAACCCCGTACAAGTAGTGTCGCCAGATTTTGAGGGCAAACACCACCGCCCCCAATTCCAGGTCGTGCGTGGGATATCTCGACTCATGAGGCTTCAACTGCCTCGAAGCGTACGCTATCACATGACCCTCTGCATAAGTACCGCCCCAAACCCGATATAGAGGCATCACAATATACCACAAAGTCCTCCATCCCTTCCGGGAGTGCAAGCACTGGAGCCTCGCACAATTTCTGACGAAGCGTCTCAAACGAAGACTGCTGCTCCGGTCCCCATGAAAACGCAACACCCTTCCGGGTCATCCTAGTAAGTGGCACAGCGATCTTGGAGAAATCCTTGATAAATCTGCGGTAATAACCAGCCAAACCCAGAAAACTCCGATTTCGGTGGGCGATCTCGGCACCTCCCACCTCAGCACCGCCTCAATCTTGGCCGGGTCGACCAATATCCCTTTCTGGTTCACAAGATGCCCGAGGAATTGGACCTCTCGCAACCAGAAATCACACTTGGAGAACTTGGCATACAGCCTCTCCGATCTCAAAACCCGAAGAATCTCCCGCAAATGCTCCTCATGCTGGTCCTAGTCTTCGAATATACCAAGATATCATCGATGAATACGATCACCGACCGATCCAGCATCGGTCGGCACACCCTGTTCAAGATCCATGAATGCAGCCGGGGCATTGGTGAGCCCAAAAGGCATCACTACAAACTCATAATGCCCATAACGAGTCCTGAAGGCAGTCTTTTGGATATCCTCCTCGCGAACCCTCATCTGATGATATCCCGACCTCAAGTCAATCTTGGAAAACCAAGATGCCCCTGCAACTGATCGAATAGATCGTCGATCCTAGGTAACGGGTACCGGTTCTTAATCGTCAACTTGTTTAACTCCCGATAATCGATACACATCCGATGTGAACCATCCTTCTTTTGACGAACAAAATCGGCGCTCCCTAAGGCGAGCTACTGGGTCGAATGAATCCCTTCCCCAACAGCTCCTGAAGCTGCGAGGATAATTCCAGCATTTCCGGTGGAGCGAGACGGTAAGGCGCCTTGGCGATGGGCGCCGCCCCCGGAACCAAATCGATACGAAACTCCACCTGCCTCTCCGGAGGCACGCCTGGTAACTCCTCGGGAACACATCCGCAAACTCGCGTACAACCGGAACGT